GCGGGTGCAACGCTTTGCAGCCGCCTTGCTGCAGCGCTGGCACGCCGTCGACTTGCAGCGTTGGCAAACCAAGACCTGGCACTGCTGGAGCGCGGTCGACCATGCATTGCTGGAACGCGGTCGACCGAGCTGCGCTGGCAGTCGACCGCTTTGCTGGCTAGCATCTGATGTAGTCCATTGTTGCTTTGCATTGTGTACCATTGTTGTCAACTTTTGCTAGTGAAACTCTTGCAAAATCTCCCCAAGAATGTGCAAGCAGTGAACACACGAGCAAACGACTAAGGAACGAACGCTACGATCACTTCTACCCCGTGTCTTGCCCGTAGTCTAGCTCTTGTTGTAAGAGTTATCTCTGCATGGTGCAGTGAGCGTGGGCGAGCGTGTCGCAATGATACCTCAGTTTAGCCGACTTTTGAACTTTCCTATTTCGATTGTAGGCCGGCAGCTGTATTGGTCACCATGGTAGGCGCCGTAGGTGACGCAGGCGTAGTGGATACCCTGGAGACACGGCTGGAGGATGCGAGGAGATGCCACCTGGATGGCAAGTACGGGCCCAACCTCCCCTTGGAGGTCGTCAAGCTGGGCATCCGCTCAGTGTGGGTTGCGGAACACCCTTCCTAACCTGGCTCTCCTCGATCGGTATGGAACGAAGGCGGCGTCGGCGAGGGCGCCAACGCTGGTGACCAAGTCGGCAGCAGTGCAGGACGCACGTCGAGGCCGAGAGGGGTGATACACGCCGGTCAAGGCGGCGGCGTTCAAGCGCGAGGGCTGCAGTCGTCGGCGGCTGCGGGCTCCTCGCAAGGTGACGTCGGTGGACGTCGAGGTAGTGTGACGCCGGCGTCGGCGACCCACGTGACTGCGAGCGGGACATCGCCGACCTACGGCTACTTCAAGTTCATGCCGGACAAGGTCGCCGTCACCGCCCCGCTGGTTGGTCGTCACGACCTGCTCACGTGGAAGGAATCCATAGAGCCCCAACTGGAGATGGCCGGGCTGATGTGTTTCGCTGACGGCACGGTGGAGACGTCGCCAGAGAGCAACGCCGAGCTGCGCGCGGAGTTTCGCGCCGTGCAGCTGCTGACCTTCATGGTCATCTTGCAGTGCTACTCACTAGTGGTGTAGATTGCTTTGAAGTCTTGCCCGCGCCACCTCGACGCCGGGCATCAGGCGTGGCGGTTCATCACGGCAACGTACCAAGTTCTCGACGACCTGTACATCGGCCAGCTGGAAGAGCAAATGACGCACCTGCGGATGGGTGAGCAGGAGACGGGGACCGACTACTGCAACCGAGCTCGGCGCCTTCTTGCCTGCATGAGGATGGTCGGCGTCGAGTACTCAACGGCGTCGTACATCACGCACGTCATCAAGGGGCTCCCGGGCGGCTACAACCTGATGAAGCGGATGATGGTGGTGTCGGGCACGCGGGAGTCGCTCAACGAGGACTCGCTGACCTTGTACATCCTCAGAGATGAGGCAATGCAGGAGGTCGATAAGTCCACTGAGCTCCTGCCGCAGGCGAACTACGTCGCCCCGACGAAGCAAGGTGGCCGATCGTGTCGAAGAGAAGGCCCCGCCTTCGCTTGGGCGCAGCCGATCTCGCCGTCGACGAGAAGTTCTCGAAGGATTGGTCGAAGCAGTGGGCTTTTGCAGTTTGATGAAAGTTGTGGTCGAGCAGGCTCTGACGGAATCTGGTCGACGAGCTCTGCGTGACGAGCTCTGGTCGACAAGCTCTACGTAACGCTTCTGGTCGAAGAGCTATGGTCGAATAACTCTGGTTTAAGAGTTCGGGTCGAGGAGCTCTGCTCGGCGAACGCTGTTCGTCCGAGCGATGTCGAGCTGATCGACCGAAGTTGCAGAGCTGTGCGAAACTCTGCGGAGGCGTGCGAACTTTTGCCCAGGAGGTTTTGGCGAAGTTCTACCTGCGGAACGGCATCACGTGGTCGACGGTGCGCACCTGGCGAAACCGACGATACGTTTTCTACCTGGCACCTGCGCAATGTGCCTGACGGTGAAACCGCCAACCTGCACCTATTTGGTAGGTGCGCACATTTGCGCAGATAGTCAACCTGCGACTGCAGATAGTTACCTACGACTGCAGATAGTCACCTGCGACTGCAGTGCTTGCAGACCACTCTGCTGCATCGTTGGCAAGCCGCTCTTCTGCTTGCGCTGGCAGATTTATCCCTTGCTAGGTGTTGCATGCCCTTCTAGTCCTTTTGTTCTGCATGCCTCAATTGTACTATCAACTTTTCATTGCAAGTTGTTTTTTCAACTTCCTTAGTGAAACTCTCGTAAAACTTCTCTGTGAACACAGCAAGCAGTAAGAACGCTAGTGCAAAACTACGATCACCGTAGTCCACTCCCGTTGTGTAGTGACTCTCCGCAGACCGGCGCAGCGCGCCAAGCCTGGCGGCGGTAGTAGCGGATGTGGGAAGCTGGCCCAGGACGCCGACAAGGGAAGTAGGCTAAGGACATCGGTCGTGGAGGAGGGGGACGACGCCGGGAATGCTGGCTGTGCCGCGACCCCGAACATTTTTTCTTTGAGTGCCCCGATCGTAGTGACTCCGAGGACGACGACAGCAGCGGAGTCCGCGAGAGGTCGGCCAGCCATCGTCCACGTCGGGAAAACAAGCCGTGCAAGGAGAAGCTGTCGAACAAGTCGACCTCGGCGAAGGACGCCGACTCCTCCCCTAGTGGCAAGAAGCGAGGTGACAAAGAGGCGTCGTGCTCGCTGGTCGGCATCGTGGAGCCGACCTTCTCGCTGGCGCCGGAGGCCGGCGAGAACTTCCAGGCGGTGGCAGCAGCCATGCAGGCGAACCCGGCGGTGGTCCTCCTTGATAGCGGATGTTCTTACCAGCTCATGTGGACGAAGGGGGCCTTCGTGGACCCGGGCCCGAGCAGCGACGTCAACCACGTGCGCGCCTTGAATGGGGCACTGCGGGACGTCCAAGGCCGCGGCACTGTCGCCTTGCAGAGGGAGGGAGGCCGCGGCACGTATATAGGAATTACGTTTTTTAAGCTACCGTATTTTGAGGAAATTAGCGCAGTGTCGTTATGTAACCCAATAGTGGAAAACTTTACGCTAAAAAAAGCGGAAATGCTAAGTGTCTTCATGTAATCCAATTGCAGGTGGCTGTAATAATTCCATGAGCGACTCGTTATAATATTGAGCTTTCGCGTCGTCAGTGTCGCTAGTAGGGCCAGCGTAGCTTTTGTCGAAGTAACAGATTTGCGCGCTTTGAAGGAGTAGTTCAAGCTCAAAGCTTCAGGTGCAAAAATCTCGCCCTTTAAATGCGGTGCTGGTGCGAATCTCGGAGATAGTCAGAAACTTGTTTTGAGCTGTGAGCATTGCCTCGTCACTTGGACGGGAAGCAGTTGGAGCAGAAGAGTTCGATCCGAGATCGAAGGTGGTTGAGCTCGGTTTCTTGCTAGGAGCGGCCGGTTGGTCGGGTTGATGCGAGGTACCCGGGTTACCGCTCTTCAATTGTTGAATTACTGATTCCAGCGTAGTGATCCGCTGGATGAGTTGCTACAAAAGCGCGTTGCTGATGGTGGTGTTGCCTGCGGAGTTCGCGGTAGGGTTGGCGGGGGCTTCATCAGTGGGAGTCGCTTGTCCGCCAGATGTGAAAGTTTAAAAAGGAAGAAGAAGAAGGAGGGTTGCACTAGCAAGAATGAGGATACAAATAGCAAACCCTAGAAGGGTTGTACTCGCTATAGAGCACCCCGCCATCAGAGGTGGTGATGCGAAGAATCTTGAGTGGCTCTCATACCATGATACATTTTGAACCGTCTTATAGGATCGTCTCAGGTTGATCGCACGAGGTGTAGCAGCGGAAGATTGCTCACCAATGTCGGGTACGGACTCTGTCAGAAGAGGGAGATTTGAATCTCGATAGAAGTGATTGATATGATGCGGTACAAGGGTTTATTTAAGAATACAATGGAATATAAAAAGTCCTATCTAGCCACGTACTCTGAGGGGGTACATTCCCCTTAGGGCTAATCTACATCGGGAAACCCAACCGTGCGCTTCGTAACTGCATGCACCTCGGTGTTTGAAAGCTTTCTCGCGCTTTGCATTTCAAATTCTTCATGCTCGCAACTGTCTTGGATAATTATCTGTGTCGCACGGTCTTCGTCCTTGGATAACAATCTTCGCGTTAAGAGTTTATTAGTATAGGAATGTTTTTCAACAATTCCACATCGTATCAGTGGTTACCAGGCGAGAGAGCCTTGGTGAAGATGTTTGTAGTTGGCCTCCGAGGTCACAAAGACCAAGCGTGCCTGGCCGCGTCACTGCAGCTCTTGCACCAGGAAGTACCGCATCTCGACATGCGTCATTCTACTCTCGACACAGAAGGATCATCATGACCTTGTTTTCAGCGAACACGGCTGGGGCAGAGAGCTAGGCCGCTCATCAAGGTTAGTGAGTAGGGAGTACAACCTCTTATAGGGTATCATATTTGTATCCCACAACATTTTCTTAGTGACACAATTACTACAGCTATGGGCGAACCACCCTCTACACAAATAGACATCCAAACCCTGAGCGGCTAGGATCCTAACAATATCAACGCAAAAGCTTTATTATTTTTACGTAACAAATATAGTAAAAGAAGTCGAGAGAACAAAAGGCCAGACGCACCAGAAGAACATTTTATGACGAACAGCCAACTTTTGTCCGATGAAGAGAATATTTGCTAGTAGTAGACAAAAAAGCATATTAGATTAACCAAAGGGGATTCAACTAAACTAGTTTAAATATATATTTAGTCAGGAACTCTTGCTTCCATCCTCCCCACTTCCTCAGCCCTACGAGCCATGCACGAACGAAGAAGATAAATCCTGTCCTATCAGTAATTGTGTGTGGAGCGAAACACCATGAGGAGCATACACACACCCGACCATGATCATTTGCGGATGCAGAGGCAGCCTGCAAAACGCAACGACTTATCCAAAAACTGGCTTGCACTGCAAATGCAAAGGCAGCCTGCAGAAGGTCAGTTGTCGCACACTCCTTTCTGAAGCTTGACTTTGTCAGGTAGGCACACGCGGGTTGCTTTGATGAGCTTGTCAATGCAGTCATATCCGTTGACTTTCCTGTAGCAGCCCTTGATGCCCCGGAAGTACTTCACCTGAATGGCCGTGCACCTGTCGCCAGTCCCCACCACATACGCATTCGCACGCGGGCACGTGCCCTGAGGGGGTGCGAGAGAGAGAGATAGAGAGAGAGAGAGAGAGAGAGAGAGAGAGAGAGAGAGAGAGAGAGAAAGAGAGAGAGAGAGAGACACACACAAAGAGAGAGAGAGAGAGAGAGAGAGAGAGAGAGAGATAGAGAGAGAGAGAGAGAGAGAGAGAGAGAGAGAGAGAAGAAAAGAGGACAACGGTAACAAGAGGACCAACATGTTGGTGTCTGCCAGGAAGTAAGGAGTCGGCGAGCTGGACGGAGAGAAATGAGCACAGACAGCAGCAGCAGCAGAAATTATGAGAGACCAACAGGTTGGTCTCCGCTAGTAAGGAAGCATGAGGGAGACAACAACTCGGTTAATATCAGACAGGGAGGAAGGAAGGTTGGTTCACAAGGAAGGACAGAGAGGCATGAGCACCGGTGCCACATACGCACCTCAAAGCCAGTGAAAATGCCAACGTCGGTGATTGAAATGAGACGGTTGCACTTCATGCCGGGGTTGAGGCGGAAGAAGTCAATGGGGCTCAGAGGGGGGTAGGGCACGTTGCGGATGGACTTGCACGTCTCTGCGCTCTGCACCAGGTAGTTCTGCGAGCACACTGGGATGAGCCCCACATTATCCCTTTTGCGCTCCACACACACCGCGTGCTCGGGCTGCAGCAGCCCGCCATTGGCAGTGCAGTCCAAGCTGGGGTTGAGCGCCTGGAAGGCAGCCGTGCAGGTGACAGAAGGGCAAGACGAGTCCACTTGGAAGTACTCGGCTACTGCCGCACAGGTGTCTCCCTGAGGATGAGATGATCAGGGGGGAGGAAGGGGAGATGGAAGGCAGAGGAATGAGGGCATGAGAGAGTGTGAGGGCTCCACTCCGTAAAGGAATGTGAGGTGAAAGAACGGAGGGAGACGGAGGAGGGAGAGATGCACAGGGAGATGTAGGTAGTAAGAGAGTGTGAGTGCCTTCCTCAGCAAAGGTAGAGAGGTGAATAGAATGGCACGCACCCACAAGGGCATGAGAGGCACAAGAAAGGCAGATTTTTTAGATGTTTGAAGTGGGATGGAGGGCATTGCGTGCGACACGTTAGGACACAAATTGATTAACATTAGAAAAATGAGGATACTGAGGAAGATGGAAAAGATGACGCATAGCCAGGAAGGAGACGGGAAGTTGGCGCATAGGCAGGAAGGGTTCGAGGTAGGGACCTGCTGAGTGGTGTAGAAGACGGAGCAGGGGATGAGAGAGGCTGGGCTGGACACTTTGAGCACCGTTGAGGGTGGGATGGGGTCTGCACACGATACCAATGGCTGCACACAACGAGGGAGAAGCTTAAGAGACATGGCATGCACCCACGCGGGCATGAGAGGCACGAGAGACACGGCATGCACCCACACGGGCGTGGAGGGGCAGGAGCTGAGTGACGAGCTGAAAGACAGAGAATGGAACTGCAGGTGGACTCGAGCGATGAGGAGGAGAGCGGGGTCGAGGCTAGGTCACAAGTGTAGGTGTAGGAAACACAAGCCTTGGTTCTATGAACACTTGAATAACACAGGTTCTGGGCTTGGAACGCACATTCTGGCGTATGGAGAGTTCTCAAGGGTGGGGGTAACGCACGTTCTGGGCTTGGAACTGGGCGAGCGTGAGGCCGTAGACCGGGAAGACATCGGAGCAGCGGATGTTTGGAGATAGCTCGGTGTAGGTTGTTTTGGTGCCACCTGCACGCAGAACAAGTGCAAACTTTTCATTCCCTGCTTGATTCATCTATGTAACTACACTTTGGATGAATCTCCTTTGAATTTTTGCCTGTTGGCCTCTCATCCATTCATGGTATGCTGTGCCTGAGGCCATTTTGCTGTCTTAGCAAAAAAAGAAGTGGAGCAAAGCAGAAGCAACATGGAGCACAGGAGAGCGCCACTGGAGCACAAAAGATGGTACACGGAGCTTAAAAAAAACGCTCAGACAAATTGCATATTGAGTATAAACGCAACAGAAATATGTACGCTGCGTTCTGTGGGCCAATACGCCGGAATACGCACGGGCAGACCAGAAAAAACAGTTGTGTTTGAGGTCGGACGTGGGAAACTCATATTTGACCTTGGCGAATCGTCATCTCAGTTTTGATCTTGATTTTGTAAGCCGATACACAACAAACCTTCCTGTACACCATTGGAAGAGTTGGTTTCTACCAGGCTCACATGTTGTGGCGCAAAACGTTTCTCAATCTCCATTCAATACTCACCTTCAGTGTTTTCCCTTGTTGTTAATGGCGACCTACTTCTTGATGAGAAGTTCGACTAGACTGTGGGCACGTGGAGTAGAGCGGGGTTGTTGGTGCTTTGCAACCTGCCCATCCACACCTCTAAAGTTTTCCAGCTTTGATAATATTTTAGCCTGCCCTGGTCTGAGCGTTCTGTGCATACCGGACCCTTAAGCGCAGCGTGTTGCGAATGCACACTCGAGCACAGGAGAAGGTACTTGGAGCACAGGAGAAGGTACCTGGAGCACAGGAGAAGGTACCTGGAGCACAGGAGAAGGTACCTGGAGCACAGGAGAAGGTGCCATCGACGGTGGTGCCCTGCCTGAAGCCCGGTGGACACACACATGAGTACGACCCTGCCCCATCATTCATACACGTGCCCACCGCACACGGGTTGCGCTTGGCTGCCTTGCATGCATCCTCTGATGAGGGGCGCGGTGGGGCGGGGTGGAAAGGGATGGGTAGGGAAGAAGGGAAGCAAAAGGGAGGGAAGGGGAGGGAAGGGGAGGGAAGGGGAGGGAAGGGGAGGATTGGGAGACCATGAGAGCAGTGAGAGGATACAAGAAGTCTTGCTGCTAAGAGGGCTCAACATCAAGCAACAGAAGCAGGAGCAGGAGGTGCAGAAGCAAGAGGAGCAGGACCAACAGCAGCAGCAGCAGCAACAGCAGCGGAGGCTTACTGTAGGAGCATGTGCGAGAGCCATCAGCGTTGGTTGCTTGGATGAAGCGCGGGTCGTTGCAGTCACACTCGTTTGTATTGCCCTTTACAGTGCACGTGAACTTGCCGCAGGGATTGAAGGATGAGCCAGTGTTATCATTGTGGGCGGTTATGCTGCAGGGGTCAGAGGTGCCTGCAGGTAGATAGAAAGAGGGACACGCAGGGAGTGCCAAGTAGCAACGCATGTGGGTTCGCATGGGCCAGCACTGCAGAGATGGGTACTACGACATGAAATGGTGGTAGGAGTATAACTGCTTGATGAGTACAACGGATTACAGTGCCCCATGTACTCACTTTTCACATTCACTCACCTTGGCTACATACTCGTCTTAGAAACCTGTTCTGAATCACGAAATGATGGTATGACTTGAACTGAAATACAAGGAATTCCATGCACTCACCTTTGTTATCACACTCACCTCTAACCACAGGGTAGAGGCCCGGCAGGGAGTTGATGCCGCAGACGCCATCCCCCCCCCTCGATGTCCATGCGCATGTGACCCCCATCGCCCCAGTCAGGCCCCCATGAGTTGCGGATGATCCAGAAGGGCGGTGCCATGTGGAGGAAGCGCGAGTCCTTTCCCACCAAGCGGTACCCCACCAGCAGCACCACGTGGTTCAGGTTGTACGTGAAGCACGCTGGGTCCTGGTACTTGGACAGCTGGGGGAAGGCATGAATGGTTAAGGTAGGCCAACTGAATGAGCGATTTGGCATGTGCCTTTGTAAAGTGCCTTGCAGAAGGAGGTGGGTACGATGTGACAGTGACAATACCACAGGTGCAACCAAAGTGCCATGGACATTTAAGGGTGCAGCAGGAATTACACACAGGCCCTCCTAATCATTCACAAACACTCTCATTTGGAGCCACACACACCCTCATAATCATTCACACCCTTCCATTTCCTCATCGAGCATATATAAAGTGAGGGTCATAATTAGCCGCCACGTGTTTGTGTTAAGGGGTCATATGTATGGAAAGGAAGGGTCGAATTCGCACATTATTCATGGAAGGACATTCGCACATGCCCACTTAATGACTCAAAACCATTGCTGTAACTCATTCGCTCCCACCCTACTCGCCTCACCCCATCGTAATCCTTGAAGGACGCAGCAGAAGCCTCAATATGCACCACCACTGGCTGCCGCTGCACGGCCAGCAGCAGCCCAAACCAGCCGTAGAAGGACGTCGACTCAAAGCCTCTGATGGGGAAGCCACCGGGGGGCTGGTGGCAGATGTGGAGGATGGGGTACGTGGAGGAGGATTGAGGCCCACAGCACAGAGATCTAGATGGAACAGCATGCAGGCATACGAGCACTCAGCAGACAGAAAAACCAGAGCTTGGACTAAAAGCAGCACAGAAATTAACCAATTCGATGACGAAGCAGCATGCGTCGAATCAATCCGGCACGTACAGCGCCAGCGCCGCCCTTGTCGCACGACACACCAAACAGCTTCGCCAGTGGCTTCATGAGCGGCACGCAGAGTGGACTGCTGTTGCCTGCCTTTACGGGCTTCTTGCCGTTCTTGATTGTCCACTGTCTCTCCGGCATGAGCCCGCCTCCCTGTTGTGCCAGCTTGAGTAGCAGCTGGAAGGCCTGAGAGGGCGTGCTGCCAGAGCAGCCGACCTTCATAGCGGTCTTGAGCTGCTCCACTGACAGCACTGGCGCCACTGCAGTGTTGGCGAGAATGCCGAGCGCAGCCTCGATGCTGCCCACCACTGCGTACGCCCAGCAGTCGCCTGCCAGGAAATGCATGGGTTGCGTAGGGTTGCATGAAAGAAACACATGGGGCGTGAGGATTGCTTTGAGCAAACACGAGGGTTCCATGGGACCCTTGAAAAAAAACGCATGATTGAGTGCCAAGGATAGGCAAAGCTGCATACAAGCAATGCGTGAAGTCTGATGCTGCAGTAGTAGACCAGTAAGATCACCCCATGCACGAGGAAAAGACCTATGTTGACAAATACGCGTTTTGTGTTTTATACGCCATCGTATAACACGCTGGCGTTTATATGCAATACCTGAGGGAACCAGGGCTGGAAATACGTGAAAAAACGCGTTTCTGGGCAGTACAAAAAGTTCTGCACAGGATGATAAAAAAAAAAGGTTCCCAGGGGGAAGAATGGGGGGAAGACGGAACACATCCCCTCCCCTCTCCCTCCCACTCCCCCAATTTGAAATGCCAGTTGAGGTGAACTTTGAAATGCGGAAACGAATCGCCTTGAGAGCATAAACCCTAAAGAGGGACGGGTTGGGATAGGTGTGTGGTTACTGGTGGGGAAGTGACTGGAGTAAGAAATTTGAAATGGTTGGGATGGGGAGGATGAGTTGGGTGTTGTGTGGTTATGAGAGTGGGAATGATAGGTGTTTGAAATCTGGATTTCTCGTCGACTTTCACAGCTGCGATACCCTAGTAGCAGTTCGTGACACATCAATTCGATTTTTTATATATATATGTATATTTATATACGTATATATACATATATTTACATGTATGTATACATATGTATATACATATGCATAAAGGTATATATTTCAAGATTGGTTTTTTTTTTTGTTTTGTTTTTTTTCTTTCTTTCTTTCTTTCTTTCTTTCTTTTCTTTTTTACGGGCTGGCTGAGCGCATTTCAGCGTTTACGGCGCGTACTTGTGTATCGCGTACAAACGCAAGCATTTGTACGTGATACGCCCCCCCACTCCACAGCGTATTTGCCAACCTAGGAAAAGACGAGCCCAGGGAAACCTGATCTAGTATTGAGGCAGGTCGGGTGTTGCTGAAGTCGAGCATTTTCTTGCCCCGACCCGCCTTGTTACTCGCATCCAGGCAAGTAAGGCTTGCCTCCATTTCCATCTCCTCCTCTAACCTCCCCCACCCTTCACCTACCCAGTAAACTCTTGCTTGTGCCCAGGCCAGGCCATCCAAACCCCTATCTCCTCACTATAATAAACGACCTAATACATCATGCAGCAGGAACTAAGCGCAGGCATTCAGGAAGAGCAAACCATCCAACAACCACAAGAGAACCGGAATATAACTATGCGTCAGCCCTGGCGCCGAAGAAAGAAAGGAAATGTCAGAATGATAGGCAAGAATGAATTGAACTATGGAAGAGTTGGGTACAGATATCAAACCCTAGAAGGGGCTGTACCCCATATTGGCTACCCCACTACAGCCTAAACATATATAGCATACATAATCTGACACACCCCCATAGGCAAAGTGGGGGAGAGCAAGGGGTCACAAGACCAGTCAAGAGAGGCAAAGCAAGCTCAGGGTGGATCACAACGTCACCACACACTCTGAGCACAAGCAAAGGGCCACAAGGCCAGTTCGCATGCAGAGATATATATGCAACAACAGCAGAAAAGTGATCTCTACCTAGCAGAACAAGCAAGCAGGTATATACATATAGATCACAGTACAAGCAGAGTCTACAGCAAGTGAGGAAACGTGGGCACAAGGCCTAGCAAGGTACAAAAGCGCTGATGATCACCAGGCGGAAGTGCCTTGGTGAATATATCAGCAGTGTTGGCCCGAGTGGCCACGTAAGCAAGACGAAGCTGACCACGCTGCTGCAACTCTCGAGCCAGGAAGTAACGCAGAGCGATGTGCTTCGTTCTGTGCTCCAGTCTGTGCTCCTGACACAAGGCAATGGCGGCCTTGTTGTCGACGTACAGCACTGGAGGAGAACGAGGCCGCTCTCCCAGGTCGGTCAGCAGGTAGGTGAGCCAGCGTAACTCCTGTGCAGCCATGGCTGTGGCGTAGATCTCAGCCTCACAACTGGAGCCGAGAACTGAAGATGAGCGTGTAGAACGCCAAGAAACTGAACCAGAGCCAAGGCTGAAGGTGTAACCCTGTGACGACCGCTGAGTAGCCTGGTCGTCAACCCAAGAAGCGTCCGAGTGACCAGTGAGGACAACGTCGCCCCGTCCTCCAAGCACGAGCCCCATGCCTGATGTACTGCACAAGTAACGCAGTACCCTCTTCGCAGCATCCATGTGCACCTTTTAGTGCCGACCAGGAGCCACGTAGCGAGCCAGAAGGCCAAGAGGGTACGCGAGGCCAGGACGAGTGCAGGTCATCAGGTACATGAGGCAGCCAACTAACTCTGGATAAGAACCACTCGGCTCTACGGACTCGTCCGAAGGTGGAGCTGAGAGCGAGTGACTTGTAGCCAAAGGAGTGGCCTGTGCCGAGGACCAGGTGAAGCCGAAGCGCTGAAGGACCTGCTGCACCATGTGTGACTGAGTCAAGGTGATGGTGCGGCGTGCTCTGTCCCGGGTGATCTGCAAGCCAAGGTAACTGCGCAGCTCACCCAGGTCTGTGCACGTGTGTCTCTTCTGCAGCTCCGACTTCACGTGGGCGAGAGCCTCAGTGTCAGCAGTGGCAAAGATCAAGTCGTCGACGTACACGAGGATGTAGAACGGCGGCAGCGAAGTGTCGGTGCGAAGAAACAGCGACGGGTCAGCAGTCGACGGAGCAAACCCAAGAGCCGCTAGTGTCGTCCTCAGTGTGCCGTGCCACTCACGCGGCGCCTGGCGGAGACCGTAGACCGGCCGCCGGAGACTCCACTGGGTACCAGGAGGGAACGACCCAGTGAAGCCAGGCGGGCGGCGCAACCAGATCTCCTCGTGCAGGCTGCCCTTCAAGAAAGCTGTGCTGAAGTCAAGAGAGTGAAGCTCGTAGTCACGCTGAGCAGCAACGTGCAGCAGCACCCGAAGAGTGGTCATCTTCGGGGTGGGGGAGAAGGTCTGGAAGAAGTCAACTCCCTCTCGCTGACTGAAGCCTCGAGCAACGTAACGAGCCTTGAAGACAGGCGGGGAACCTGGCGGACGCTTCACCCTGAAAATCCACATGCCACTGACGATGTTCGCCCCAGGAGGGGGAACCTCGTCGACGTAGGTGCCTGTGGACTTCCAGGATGCCATCTCTGCATCCATGGCTGTCTGCCATTGAGAGGAGTATTCACCCGCGATCGCCTCAGCGTAAGAGCGCGGGGTCGGGATGTCTGGAGCATCCGGGTCTCCCTCAGGGGCAAGCAGCATGGACACGAGATGAGGCGCAGCGGCAAGACACTCAAGGTCCTCCTGCCTGTCCTCAAGGACGTCCGTGCCAAGAGCACACTCACCCCCGACGGACGGAGGACAGACAGACTCAGACTCAGCAACAAGACTAGCGGCGTAGTCTAGACGACAGGCAGCAGCAAAGTCAACCAGCTCAGCGACCAAGGCAGACGCAGCAGCAGACTCAAACGACGGGTCAGTGACAACAGTGGCTAGCAGACGCGTGACAGTAGACGATGGACGACGGGTCAGTGACAACAGTCGCTAGCAGACGACGGACTACAAGGCGGGTGCCGGGGACAGCCGGCTGACGCGAACGAGGGACACTACGACCGGAACGACCAGACCGGACAGGCGAAACAGGACGCGACGCAGGCTTACGACGCTCAGTAAGACTCCCTGTCTGCTCAGTGTAAGGAGAAGGAGCAGGCAGGGGTGAGCCAGGCTGTAACGGAAGACCAGTAGACGAAGGGAGACTAAGAACCTGGCGAAGCACAGAGTCAGGTTGTGGCTGAGACGACGGAGACGGTGGAGCAAAGAACTGGCGCGGCTGGGCAGTGCCACCAGCACCAGCAGCTCCAGTACCTCCAGCAGCTCCAGAACCCTCAGCTCCAGCTCCTCCAGGACCAGCTCCACCAGCAGCAGCACCCCCAGAACCGGCACCTCCAGTCCCAGGGTCTCCAACCTCAGTGTCGCCAGCATCAGCACCCCCAGCCCCAGGGTCTCCAGCAGTAGTAGCCTCAGGCTCAGCAGCACCTCCAGCCCCAGCAGCTCCAGTACCTCCAGTACGAGCACCTCCGGGACCAGCACCACTCCCAGCTCCAGTGACGGCAGCAGAAGTACCTCCAGCAGCAGAGCCCCGAGCTCCAGAAGCGCGACCCTGACGGCGACCGTACCAGTCGTGCAGCTGCTGTGAGGTGAGAGGCAAACGCGGACGAAGGCGGCTACTCCAAGGAGACCACACAACAGCAGACTCAGAACCCTCAGCAGCTCCAGAACCTCCACCACCAGCGCCAGCACCTCCAGCAGCTCCAGAACCTCCAGCGCCAGCACCCGCAGCAGCTCCAGAACCTCCAGGAGAAACAACTCCAGTAGCAGAGGCACCAGCGCCAGCGCCTCCCGCAGCAGGGCCCCTAGCTCCAGCAGCGCTACCCTGACGGCCAGCGTACCACTCACGCAGCTGCTGTAGGGAGAGAGGGGGTCGACGACAAGAATGCAGCGGCGAGGCACCAGCAGAGCGACTGCGGAGACGGCCGCTCCAGGGAGACTGCTCACCAGACGCCTCAGTGCCCCCCGTTGCAGCACCCCCAGACTCAGTACCCCCAGGCTCAGCACCCCCAGACTCCTCACACTCAGGCTCAGCACCTCCAGGCTTCGCACCCCCAGGCTCCGCACCCCCAGGCTCCGCACCCCCAGGCTCCGCACCCCCAGGCTCAGCACCCCCAGGCTCAGTACCCCCAGGCTCAGCACCCCCAGGCTCAGCACCCCCAGGCCCAGCACCCCCAGAAGCAGCACCCCAAGCAGGACCTGAGTCACCAGTGACCTCAACCGGCGTAGACAAGGGAGGAGGGTCTACCTGAGACACACCTGAAGGAGCAGGACCGGGAGCGGGGAGGGGGTCTACCTGGGTAGCACCTGGAGCGAGGAAGAGCGGCGGGGGGGGGGGGAGAGGGGCAGTGCGGTAGGGGAAGAGACGGTAAAAGGGAACCGACTCGTCAAACGTGACGTCCTGAGAGGGGAAGATTCGGCGCGAGGTGGGGTGGTAAAACTGCCAACCAGGCGCGTCAGGGACAAAGCCAAGGAAGACACAGGGAACAGCGCGGGCGGAGAGCTTGTCCGCGGTGGTATCGCGGACAAAGGCACGAGAACCCCAGACCCGGAAACGCGACGCATCGCCAACCTTCCCCGTCCACAGCAGTGTGGGCGAGGTCTCCGGCAAGGAGACACGGGGCCAGAGGTTGAGCTGATGCGCGGCGTACCGGACCGCAAACGGCCACAGAAAATGGGGGGCAGCCGCATGGACCATGGAGGTACGAGCGACCTCCATGACCAAGCCAATGCGGCGCTCAGCAACCCCATTCTGCTGCGGAGAGGCCGGAAGCGTGAACGACTGGGTGATGCCGTGCTCCTCACAGAAGGCTGCCAAGAGGTCGGAGGAAAACTCACCACCTCTGTCAAAGTGCAGACGCAGAACGGGAAACTCCGTCCCGAACCGCTCGCGGAGCTAGAGACGAGCAGCGCGGATCCAAGGGATCAAAACATCAGGGACCTCACCCTTGGTGCGCAAGAGGAAGACCGTGGTGTAACGCGTGTAGTCGTCGACAACCAGCAGGAAGTACCGCTCGTGGCCCTGTCCACGGACGCGGGCTGGGCCCCAAACGTCCAGGTGGAGAGTCTGCAGGGGAGCCTCTGTGGGAGGGAACGAGGAGGAGTGAGGAGCAGCGCGCTGCCGCCCCTCGACACAGGGAAGGCAGGGAGGAGCAGGCGAGGGGGGAAGGGGAGGAAGAACCCTGGGGATACCAGAGACAAGGACACGGCGGTGCATGCTACGAAGGCGCTGCACCGAGGGGTGACCCAGACGGTGGTGCCAAAGGAGGGTCTGGTGCGACAAAGCGCGACACGAGCAGGGGGCCACTAGCTGACCTGACGCAGACGCAGACGCAGCGACCTGAGGAGACACAGTAGACAAGGTGTATAGACTCGAGCCAGGCTCACGGGTAAACGTGTCCAGGTGCCGGCCCGTCCGGGAGCACGTACAGTGGGTCACGCGCTGACCTCCAGGGGTGAACTGGTCAACCCACTGGTCCTGGAGGTCAGCACCACTCACCAAGTTCGTAGAGAACGAGGGGAGGTGAAGACCTGACAGGGAGCCAGACGGGACCGCCGGACACGGCAGGACCGTGGAGGAGTGCGCAAGGACTGGAACCCCAGAGGGGTCTGCCAGGGAGACTGCAACTGGCCGATGGAGCGGCGTGAGGGTGGTGCTGTCGCGAAAGAAGGAGCGGGAAGCACCTGAGTCAAGAGTGAAGGTGTACAAGGCCTCAGCAGGCGCAGAACCAGAGAGAGCACCTAGAGCAGCAGCCGCACCAGTACCTAGAGTAGCAGCCTCACCAGTACCTAGAGCAGGAGACGCACTAGCACCTAGAGCAGCAGCCTCACCAGCACCTAGAGCAGCAGACTCTATACATGGGTCCGGTGGGATGCAGAGGTAACAGGCACGGTCAGCACTAGTAGGCAATGCATACATGGCAGTGAGAATAGCATCATAGTCAAGAGCATAGATATCTACCCTCTGCCCAAGTAGCTCCAACCAGGAGGGGAGCTCAGCCTCGTCGCCAAACTGGGTACGCCAGGCGTCGCTCAGACGGGCAAAGCAGCGAGACTGTGTGTGACTAAGTGTCCCGCAGGTCTGACCAGTCCGAGCACCGGTGCAAATGACGTACTGGCAGCGAACGGTACTCAGAGACCCTCTACTCTGAGCGTACCACTCACTAAGCTGCCGGGGCGTAAGTGGCTCGCGCGGACGCTGCTGTAGCTGCAGCTGGCCAGTGGTAGACGCTCCCGACGGACCAGCTCCAGGGCGACAGCCACGACTGCTACCACCACAACTCCTACTAGCGTACCACTCACGAAGCTGCTGGGGCGTGAGAGACTCACGCGGACGCCGCTGGAGTTGCATCTGGCCACAGCCAGTAGCAGCAGTAGTAGCAGTAGTAGCGTGGCCGGTTGGCAGGCAGGCAGGCAGGCAGGCAGGCAGGCGGCGCGGCAGCGCGCTAACAAGGCAGGTGCTCACCAGTGGCGGGCAGGGCCGGCGCTCAGCGGACGGCGACAGGGTCGGTGCACGACGGCGGCGACGGCCGGGCCGCAACAGCGGCTGCAGAGTAGGGCCGTGTCAGGTGCGGGGCCGGGGCCACGACAGCGGCAAGGCAGGGCCGCGACAGCTGCTGCAGGGCCGGGCCGTGATACGCCCCCCCCCCCCTCCACAGCGTATTTGCCAACCTAGGAAAAGACGAGCCCAGGGAAACCTGATCTAGTATCGAGGCAGGTCGAGTGTTGCTCAAGTCGAGCATTTTCTTGCCCCGACCCGCCTTGTTACTCGCATTTAGGCAAGTAAGGCTTGCCTCCATTTCCATCTCCTCCTCTAACCTCCCCCACCCTTCACCTACCCAGTAAACTCTTGCTTGTGCCCAGGCCAGGCCATCCAAACCCCTATCTCCTCACTGTAATAAACGTCCTAATACATCATGCAGCTGAAACTATGCGCCGTCATTCTGGAAGAGCAAACCATTTAACAACCACAAGAGAACCGGAAGATAACTATGCGTCAGCCCTGGCGCCGAAGAAAGAAAGGAAAAACCTCTGACCCACACAAGTGCAGCAACATGACATCACAACCCAGCTTCCAGATGTAGCCCTAACTTCTCGTCTTCATGACAGCCTTTGCCTTCATCACCAATAGTGTAAAATGGCAGCGAGATTGCCTTTGTTTTCCTCATTTCCTCCCATCCCCAAACATAACCTTAATATTGTGCTAAGCTATTTGAGCAGTAAGCTATCCACGAATCTCATCGTTGACATTTTCAACTTAAGCTTACACATCTCTCCCATCATAAGATTGAGTCACACCTCTCGTAGACGCATATACGTCACAGGAGCTACTAAGCCTGCCTTTTCTCCTTACCAAAAAAACCACGTTTCTATTCACTATAATAGTAAATAATACTTCTTTTTTGCTTGCCATGAAATAGCTCGTTACATAAGTACTTCTCCTGTTTTTGTCGTATGTACGTTTTCAGCTTTACGTTACAAACTTTGACGGCCCAGATCTCACCTAGAGAGAACCAGTCAGACCGTGTCAACATCCCAAAAGAGTGTCAACGCCGTGTGGGCCGTGTGGTATGACCTGGCGTACAAGAGGAGGTCCAAGCGTACTCACCGCAAGTTGTCTGTGTCTTGACAGGCCATCTGAAGTCAGGCCTGGCCCAGGAAGCTGCAGGGCGCACACCATACACGTCACGGCCACTCTCAGCAGCACTACTGCCCGAGCTGGCATAGCGGAAGAAGATATTTATTCCCGACAGAGAGAGAGCCGCCTCGCCGAAGGTAAAGCCCCGCGCTGCAACTGCGATTGAAAAAAGTAAGGGTGCAAGGTAGACACAACGAGGATTGTTGCAGGAGCTACTGAGCACCCAAACCGAGACATGTTTATAGGTGCAACTCTAATACCAGCCTCAAAAGGAACAAAACAGGAAGGGAAGAATATTGTACCTGGAGCTGGCTGGATAGGAAAGTCTGCACACAAAAGAGAAGAAATGAAGAAAAGAAGTAGAAAAGGTCAAACGAAAGCATAGCACTTGTATTGGGGTAGGCATAAGCAAACGCCAACACGAGTAATACTCGACTCGATTTCAGCCGACTCATTTTTGAAACGAGTCGAGTCGAGTATTACTCGCCTGAGTAATTTTACCCCAAGACCCGACTCGTTACTCGTGAAAAACTTGGTCCGGAGTAAGTAAAACTCGTTTGGGCTACTTGTTTTCCGGAGTAATGAAATACTCGGTCCGGAGCAAGTAATACTCTACTCGTTTTGAGCTAAACAGGTGTCGAACCGAGTAATGAAATTCTTGTTTTCAGAAACGAGTAAACTTCGAGTAATTATTTACTCGAGAGTAATACTTGAGTCGACTCGTACGAGTAATTTTCTGGAAAATGCCGACTCGTTATTCACCCAAAACGAGTAGCAAAAAGCGAGTCGAGTAAATTACTTGACTCGTTGCTCATGTCTATATTGGGGTAAGGCTGCAGTCAGTCCTTTGGTCATAAAACTTCTCTTCTTTCCTTACCAAAAAACACAAGGCAGGAACAACAAGTGAGAGACAAGAAAGGATGCATGGGTGCGCTCAGAGGTCGAGAGGGTCCAGGCGGAGACGACATGGCTTTGAGCCTGGGTGCCCGAGGCAGCAGTGAAGCCGATGGCAAAGGTGTACTCCGACGGGGAGGGGGCGAGCTCCTCGCACAGGGAGATGCGTGCCGACAGGAGGGGGATGGTGGGGCGAGGGGATGCCTTGGAGGAGAGGAAGACGAGCAGGGAGCCACTGGAGGAAGGGTCATACTTGATCCACACGTGCTTGGGCTTGCCGTCATTGAGAGGGGTGCTGGGCTTGGCGGTTACCACAGACGTGACACTGCCGCCAGTATTGATGCCCACGTGGTTGCTGTCAGGGTCGCTGTTGCCCGCATCCTTGGATGTGTCAAACTCTACTGCCACGCTGCGGGCTCCCATCCCCACATACCCCATGCCACCCACCACCGGTGTTGTGGGCGGGGTGGCATCAAAGGCCACCACAAAGGCAAAGCCCTTAGAGCCAGAAGCAGCGGCGCGGGTAAGAGTGAAGGAGAAGGAGGAGGAAAAGGCGAGCTCGCGGCCGCAGGTGTCCCCGATGAGCTGGTAGGAGAAGAGCGGCACGCGCGCTGCCAGGAACACACTACCAGCCTTGGACGGCTGGGCGGGCGTGAGAGTGAGCGTGGGTGTTGCGTCCACTGTCGCGTCGCCAGTGGCTGTGAGCATGGATTTTGTGGGAGTTTGCTGCTGCTCCGTCTTACCACCTGAATGTGGGAAGCGGGGCATAGAGACGGTTGGAGAGGAAAGTTCAGAATGTGCGCTCTCAAAAGGGGCACTTGCCAGCCATAAGAAAGGCACTTGAAAAAGACAAGTATGAAAATATAGTGTGTTTGGCAGAGTCATAGAGGTGTAAGTGAATTAGGGACAAGGCATGCCATGGGATGATGCATGCGTGAGAGACTTGATTCACTTACCTGTCACAGACACGCAGCTGCCATGATACTCCCCAATCACGAAGTTTTCGTCACAGATGCATGTGGGCGTGCTGCTGGGGCCGTCCAAGAAGCACACGCCATGGCCGTTGCAGGCAGGGGAAGAGGGAGAGACCCCGCAGAAGGCAGAGCACACGGCGTCGGTCTTCTGAGGGCTGTCTGCTGCGCACGCAAGGCCCTGTGCTGGTGTGTCTGCACAGTTGCTGTGGTATGTGATGTAGGCCTGATCGCATGGTGGGGGGGACGTGAAACCCTGAGTCAAGTAGTTTTTGTCTAGCTTGTAAGTCTTAATTGCTGGTGGCACGGGCTCGAGGACCTTCCCTGTAAGCTGGTTGTTCCTCATGTTGCTGTGGGTAAAAATGGGAGGATGGGGAACGGGACCGAAAACAACAGGGAAGAGCGGATACAAGAGGGCAAACACTCTTATTCGCATAATTGGAGGCTGGGAGTGCAAAGATTAAAGACATACACTCGAGTATTGGAGGACTGAGTTGGTGGTTAAGTTGGTACTTAACGTCTACGCATACGCCTATTATGGGTTTGGTGGTGTGTGGGGGACTTACAAAACTTCTAGATTGGCATGAGTAGAAAGCCCTTGGGGTATGGTGCCAGAAAGACGGTTTGAGCTCAGATCCCTTCATGTGGAGAGACAACAGGAAGATGGAGATTCACAGACAGAAACAATTAAACGGAAGCAAGAGCGCTTCAAACAAGATGCGGCACGACAAGGGAGCAGACACTGGCAATAAGATGTGTTGAGCACGGTTGGTGTGGTTAAGCTTGGTTGGATCCAGAGGTGGGTAAGGCTGGGAGCAGGGTGTACACACACATGGCAACCAAGCGAGCAACAGTGTACTGGGCGTATGCAAGTCATCAACGGCATTAATTCATGAAAACAGAGCATGCACCCGTGCAACAGCGCACTGGGCCGCATGTCACGGATAGGGGAAGGGGCTACTCGAATGGGCGTGCTATGTGTGAGGCTAACAACAGTGTGAGCCTTACAGTAGAGTGAGGTAGACCAAGCCTGTAATTTCGTCCGGTATAGTGCCAGACAACTTGTTGTTACTCAGGTCACTGGGGGCAAAGAACACGCCAAAGAGAGACAGTGATGATTGATTAGCTGATTGACCAAAAGGGAATGTGGGCAAGGCAGCAAAGAATTGAAAATCATATTTCATCGAAGGAACAAGTAAAGGGGAGGGCGTAGGATGAGTGGAATACAAGAGAGATGCAGAGACCATCTCGATGGAATAAGATGGTCTTTGAAAACCTGATTACACGAAATGCACGAGCAGGAAAGCGAACTAGAGAATGGATACGGAATGCAGCAGCGGTACACGCATGGGATGCAGCAGCGGGGTGCGTGAGGAGCTCAACACAGTAGGGCATGTGCGGACATTCCAGCGAGTAAAATCTCCATTGCGGGCAGATATTTATGGCACTGCATTGCATTGCACTGCACAGGGGAGCCGAGCCGGCACTTGGGTGACCCCACTCACAATCTTCTTAGCTCAAAGAGGTTCCCAATCGTTGAAGGAATTGTCCCAGTCAACTGGTTATCACAGAGGTCACTGAGGATGGCACAGCACAGCAACATGGGGATTGGAGGCATGGGGCTCGAGGTGCTTCCAACCACTCGAAAACTGGCAACAAGGTATAAGAGGTGAAAGCATGTGCGTGTAATGTTTTCACGACGTGTAATGGCTAGACAGAGTAGTATTTTTGAGACTGGGTTTGCACGGCATTGTCAAGAGCTGGCAAGCCATGAAATTTATAGTGCCAACAAGATTTTTTGAGCCAACTGGTTTATCAAGCGGGCAGTCGCCTGCACCAACCAGATAATCAAGTCGGGTCGACCGTCGACTCGATGCTTAGCTACATTGGAGGGTGCACTCAACAATTGGCCACGAGGTGAGATTACTACACCTCAGAATCTAGCCTATGGATGTTGTATAGAGCAAGATATTACTGCACGTGTATTCCATGATTGAACCGAGCATGAAGCACTTCGATTCATAAGTGTTGAAACAAGAACCGGAATGGTCACAACCCGGTTCAATCTGAACCGGTTCTACTTTTGGGGGGTTGAGGCGGTTCAAAGAAACAGCACATAAAGTAAACCAATTTGCTGATCCAAGGTCAGGTCGTGTATACCTAGGGATGAGCAAAGAAAGGAAGACCGGTTCGTTTCATCTCGAACGTGTTCGAGGCGAACCGAACAGTTTTCCTTTTTTAGTTTTAAGTGTTGGTGACAAACGTGTTCGAGGAACGTGTTCGGGCCGCTGCTGCAATTTGCCCCGCGTCGAACACGAACGTGTTCGAGGTCCCGTCTCGAAGTCGTTGGTCATGACAGTGGAGCGCTTCACTGCCCACAGCTGCCCCTGCGGCGAGCACCCCTTGTACACGGTGCCAAACCCGCCCTGCCCCAGCACGTTCTCAGGCGCCCAGTTGTCTGTGGCCTTCAGAAGCTGCTGCAGTGAGAACTGCTCGCACACGTCCAGCCCCTCCCACTTCCCTGCGCCCCAACAGAGCACGGTGAGGCGGGTGCATGGTGGGAGGCAATGCAGCAACACATATTCAGCAAGGGTTTAAGCGAGTGGCCACAGCAAGAATGCAGAAGTGGGGGCGGCAGGGAGGGTGAGTTGTAGTGCAGGCATGGGTAGGGCAGGGGTGCAGGGCGAACGGGAAAGAGGTGTAAGAATGGAGGGATGGCATGGGAGCAGTGTTGGCGGTCTCACTGTGTCCACGGGGCCACAGTAGCCAGGCGAGCACAGCAGTGAGCAGAGTGAACCCGGCAAAGCACCCCACAACAATGCTTACGATGGCACCTGTTGACAGCGACGACACTGCCAAGGGGGGAGCAGGGTGGGTGGAAAAGAAGCGAGGAGTGGAGGGGATGGGGGGAGGATGTGAGCACAGCATGGGCTCCAATCTCCAAATGAGCTGTGCATGTGTGAGGGTGCCTCACCAGCAGTGATGGCACAGGTGGACCCGTTGCCCAGGTCCACGGAGGGGTACCCCGCGTCGCACATGCAAGTGAAGCTGACCGGGGTAACCAGGTTTGCCGGTGCAGGCGGCACACACGCCCCATGGCCGTCACACGGGGGGAGCAGGGGGGAGCAGGGGGAAGAGCGACAGGTTGGAGGATGTGAGCACAGCATGGGGGGCTTTAATCTCGATATGAGCTGTGCATGTGTGAGGGTGCCTCACCAGCAGTGGTGGTGGAGTTGAGGATGGCGCAGGTGGAGCCGTTGCCCAGGTCCACGGAGGAGTACCCAACATCGCACATGCATGTGAAGTTGGCCGGGGCGTCCAGGGTAGGTGGCATGCACGCCCCACGGCCATCACACGGGCCGTTGTCCGTGATGGTGCAGAACGCCTGGCAGGCTGCCGTGCTGCGCTGAGTAGCGTTGGACGGGCACGTGACATCCCGTTTGAGGGTCAGGCAGTTGCCTGTGAGGCTCCCCCTGGTGCCCTTGCCTGGCAACCCGCGGCAAAGAGCGCGGCGTCTCCGTAGAAGAAGTTGTGTGCGAGGTTGATGAGGGCTTCGCTGTCCGCCACCATGCTGTTGAAGTTGCGGTTCACACGCCCGTACAGGCTGTTGTTGCTCACATCACTGCGGGGAGTGGGGGGGGTTGGCCAAGAATGGTGCTTGACCCTTTGATCCATGAGCCAGGCTAAGGGCCAGGTTGATGAGGGCCACGTTGATGAGGGCCACGCTGTCAGCGAAGTAAGCAACATCAGGCTGTTGCCGCTCGCTCAAGTCGCTGAGGGGGGAAGGAGAAGGGGGGCCACTTGACGGATGCGAGGGCTAGAAAGAATGGCTTGCCAGAGCGAGCTGAGCGGCCCACCTGACATTCAGCAGTGCGTTCATTCGACACATGGCTCTCACCAATCTTTGCACTTGACTGCAGTGACAGCAGTGAGCAGCATGCCTTGCAGCACTCTTCGGTTGTGGGGACGGGACGGATGAAGTAAGCAGGTGGGCTCACATCTGGTTAATGCACTTGTCGAAGAGATAGTCTGGGAGAGGCCCGTAAAGATGGTTGTTGCTGACCATGCTGCCAGCACAACCGATGCCATGCCATGCCATGCCATACCATGCCATGCATGAACCACCACGATTCACAGCATACAGAGGCGCATAGTACAAAAGAAGGCAAGGCGACAAGGCAGGGCAAGCAAGATAAGCAGGACAAGTAGATACACAATAAGCTGGGGCGCAGTTTTTCGCCACCTGGATGGATGGGCACGTTTCTTGCTTGGGTATGTCATGGTGTCAGGGTTGTTGGTGCCAGGCCACTCACACGAGCATGTGCTTGCCAGCGTCTAATTGTATATTTGCCTTCTGTGGTAGTCTTGATTAGTGCACGTATCACTTCATATCCATTTGTACGACTTGAGCGAGAAATTGCACTGCTTGAAAGGCTCTCGATTTCGCTCTTGCGAGCCTCGCCTTTCTTAAGCTCCTCCTTTCATATCAGAGCTGCTGCTCGCAGCAGCTGCTTCTGGTGGGGTTCGGGCACACAAGGAATACCTCATCCTCCTGCACTTGGCCACAATTCCAGCACACCCTCCACACCCTCAACACCGAGCCTGTGTATTCGTCAAGATGCATGATCCTTGTAGCCGGACCAATGCCTGAACACCCCCTTGTCACTCGGGAAAAGCATATGCCACCCACTCACATGTGCCACAGCCACTCACATGCGCCACACCCACTCACATGCGCCACACCCACTCACATGCGCCACACCCACTCACATGCGCCACACCCACTCACATGCGCCACACCCCACATGTGCCACACCCCACATGTGCCACACCCCACATGTGCCACACCCCACATGTGCCACAGCCACTCAAATGCGCCACAGCCACTCACATACGCCATAGCCACTCACATGCGCCACAGCCACTCACATGCGCCACAGCCAGCGCAGCGGGCAAATGGCGGATGGCAGAGGGCCCTCGATGCTGTTGTTGTCCAGCCAGCTAGGGGGTGCAGGCGGGGGCAGAAGCAGGGGTAGAAGCGGGGATAGAAGAAGGGGTAGAAGTGGGGGTAGAAGCAGGGGTAAAAAACAGGGGCAGAAGCAGGGGAAAAAAACAGGGGCAGAAGCGGGGGCAGTAGCAGGGGAAAAGCAGGGGCAGAAGCAAGGGCAGTAGCAGGGGAAAATCAGGGGCAGAAGCAGGGGCACGAGAGGAGCAGAGTGCAGTGGGGCTCGGCAGAAGGCACAAAACATGGGTGGGTTCGGCAGGGCGGACCGCTTGGCACGCAGAAGGAGAATCGAGATCCAGAAAACAAATGAACTGCTCAACTCGACGCAGGAGGGTGCAGATGGGGGGAGCGGGGGACAAGGACCGTTTCAGAGAAAATTCAAGCTAGAAAAAGAACCCCGAGACTGAGAAAACGTCAAGCCGCCCCGCGCCCTTGCCCCAATGGCTCATTTCGCTGCCATGCACATCCCCTTGCCCCAATGGCTCCCCTTGCCTCCCCTGCTGCGCAACACGCTCCCCCTCACTGCTTGAGTGGGCAGAAATTGAGGGCAGGCAGGGAGCGCAGGTAGGGGGGGCAGGCAGGAAGGGCCCTCACATCTGTTGCAGCTTCTCCAGGTGACTGATGGCAGACAGCAGACTGCCGCTCAGACGGTTGTTGGCCAGATAGCTGGAGAGAACGGATGGGAGTATGGAAGGGAGTATGGAGGGGCGCATAGGGAGGAGAATGGAAGCGACAGCTGCGAGCAAGCGCAGCACATGGGAGAACAGTGCATGTTGACATAGGAAAGTAGCGTAGCCATAGTAGAAAGGAAGTGAGGTGCAAAGGTTCGTTCTACAACCCACAATCCATCACTACATGGGCAGTTAAGACTCACAGAGATTGTAGGTCATGTTGAAGATGGCAGCTGGAATGGTTTCCGTCAGTTGGTTGTTGTCGAGGATGCTGCCGAGGTACGGCAAGGGCAGAGCGCATGAGGTACGGCAAGGGCAGAGCGTATGAGGTACGGCAAGGGCAGAGCGTATGAGGTATGGCAAGGGCAGAGCGTATGAGGTACGGCAAGGGCAGAGCGTATGAGGTATGACAAGGGCAGAGCGTATGAGGTACGGCAAGGGCAGAGCGTATGAGGTATGGCAAGGGCAAGAACAGAGCGCATGAGGTATGGCAAGGGCAGAGCGCATGAGGTATGGCAAGGGCAGAGCGCATGAGGTATGGCAAGGGCAGAGCGCATGAGGTATGGCAAGAACAGAGCGCATGAGGTATAACAAGGGCAGAGCGCATGAGGTATGGCAAGGGCAGAGCGCATGAGGTATGGCAAGGGTAGAGCGCATGAGGTATGGCAAGGGCAGAGCGCATGAGGTATGGCAAGGGCAGAGCGCATGAGGTATGGCAAGGGCAGAGCGCATGAGATATGGCAAGGGCAGAGCGCATGGGGTATGGCAAGGGCAGAGCGCATGAGGTATGGCAAGGGCAGAGCGTATGAGGTATGGCAAGAACAGAGCGCATGAGGTATGGCAAGGGCAGAGCGCATGAGGTATGGCAAGGGCAGAGCGCATGAGGTATGGCAAGGGCAGAGCGCATGAGGTATGGCAAGCGCAGAGCGCATGAGGTATGGCAAGGGCAGAGCGCATGAGGTATGGCAAGGGCAGAGCGCATGAGATATGGCAAGGGCAGAGCGCATGGGGTATGGCAAGGGCAGAGCGCATGAGGTATGGCAAGGGCAGAGCACATGGGGTATGGCAAGGGCAGAGCGTATGAGGTATGGCAAGGGCAGAGCGCATGAGGTATGGCAAGGGCAGAGCGCATGAGGTATGGCAAGGGCAGAGCGCATGAGGTATGGCAAGAACAGAGCGCATGAGGTATGGCAAGGGCAGAGCGCATGAGGTATGGCAAGGGCAGAGCGCATGGCGTATGGCAAGGGCAGAGCGCATGGGGTATGGCAAGGGCAGAGCGCATGAGGTATGGCAAGGGCAGAGCGCATGAGGTATGGCAAGGGCAGAGCGCATGAGGCACCAGGTGCTGCTAGGTGCTAGCGTATGCCAGCTCCTTGATCTGCGCTGGGTGAGAAGAAGACACTCCGCAGATGCAGGTGGGGCATGTGGTGAGGGGCATGTGGTGCAGGGCATGTGGTCCAGGGCATGTGGTGAGGGGGCAACAGCAGACGAGGCTCACATGGCCTGCAGAGTGGAGAGCGTGGAGATGGAGTCAGGAATGGGCCCTGTGAATTTGTTGTTGCTCAGCGCCCTGCATGAGGAGCAGCACTCACTCACGGAGCATGGCACCCACAAGACCAAGCGATGTGATAGAGGCAAGGCAAGACACATGCCAGTGATTAGAAAGTTGCCACCAGGGAGGAAAGCAAAATTGTCAGGAATATTTGAGGGGATTGAGACAGGAAGAAGAAAGAGTTGGGAGGGGAAGGGGAGTTGGAGGGGTAGAGAGGGAGAGGAAGAAGCTTACAGCGTTGCAAAGCTGCCTGTCCAGAGCGAGAAGTCTGGCAAGGAGCCCGTGAAGCCGTTTCCTTCAAGGCTACTGCACATGGTGGAACGAACGGTGGGCAAACTCCACTCCAGGGATGATCAGCATGGAGGGCGCAAGATGACGATGGCAGAACAGTGAGTGGTGGCAGCACAGCAAGTGGTGGCAGCACAGCAAGTGGTGGCGCTGCTTACAGCGTGGAAAGTGTGGAGGAGGCTCTAAGCTTCACTGGAAGTTTCGCTGAAAGAAAGTTGTTTGACAATTCCCTACATTGGGCAGAAGGGGGGACAGAGGGAAGTGGTGGTTCCATGCATGCACTAGAGCCGCTGCCACACTGGAAGCTGATAAGGGGAATGCAAAGGTGAAGAATGATGAGATGCAAGGACCCGAGTAGTAGGCACACAAGTTTGACCTTTGCAGGCTAGATAACAGGTGTAAGGATCAGGCTTGTGTATTTGGCAGCAGGAGGACGTTTTGGAGTAATTGTTTATTTGGCAGCAGGAGGACGTTTGGAATAATTGTGTATTTGGCAGCAGGAGGACGTTTTGGAATAACACAACAATTCCGAATCTCAACCAACTTTTTGAGTTCATTTACAAACCGCGCAATAGGCTGTTTCGTAATGCAATCTCTATAATAGCAGGGCCAAGCAAAAGCGTCATGGAGTTACTCACAGAGTGTTAAGTATGGGGAGGTGGAAGAGGCCAGAGGGGATTGATCCATGGAAGTTGTTGTCATTGAGATTGCTGGCCGAGTCACTCAGAAGCGATGACAAACAGATTGCAGCACTTGAGCCCATGTGGAGACATTCATGCACCATTGGAGTGAACACGCAAGTGAAATATATTAATGCGTGAACAAACAGGTGCTGATATAGGCTAGGCGTGAACAAGGAACAGGTTTGGCTTTGGGAATCGGTTGATGAAAGAGATGGGGACCCCGACGTCAAGACTCGAGTGGCATACAGTTTATCAAGTAAGACCAGGTCGACGGGACAAAAGTGATATCATTGGGGCACCACGCACATGGTTACCAGCTCCAGTAGCTCGGTCAATTGCAGGGGAATGGATCCGGAGAAGCTGTTGTTGCTCACATCCCTGCCATGTCCATTGACAGTGTCAATGCCAGTTCCTTTACCGTGTGAGAAGTTGCGACAGACTCCTTGAAGTATGCAACAACTCGACATGAAACTTCCACTGCAACCCACCTTTGTCCACAACCATAAGGGCGTGTCTCACAGATATGAAAGGTGGTGGATGTGCAGAAGAAACTGGGGAAATTCTCCCGTGATGTGGTTGTTGGCGATGGTTCTGGTGCATGCCCATGGCACATGTGGTGGGAATAGGACGAGATGGATGCAAAAACGCAGAGGCACACAGACTCTCATTTGGGCTTGCGAGAAACACACAAGCCTTCATGCCAGGATAACAGATGTGATTCTCAAATGCATGCCCCACAAACACATGAGGCCCACAACAAGCGTGTGGGTAGGCGAGACACAGTTGTTGCTGCATGGAGGAGGTGAGAGAATGAGTGAGTGAATGGGTGAGTACGTGAGTGAGAGATAGAGAGAGTAAGTGGGTGAGTGAGTGAGTGAGTGAGTGGTTGAGTGAGTGAGTGAGTGGTTGAGTGAGTGAGTGCATGAGTGAGTGAGTGAGTGAGTGGGTGGGTGAGCGAGTGAGTGAGTGAGTGAGTAAGTGATTGAGTGGGTGAGTGAGTGAGTGAGTGAGTGAGTGAGGTATGGATGGAGGCGACTGACATGAAGTTGAGCCCTGTGATGGCAGAGAGGGCTGCTGGAAGCACCCCGGAGAAGTTGTTGGTGTGGAGGCTTCTGCAGGCGACGCATTCAAACGAAGGGCTAAGCTGTTGCCAGTTGCAGGGAGCAAACGACGTGAGGGAGGGAAGGGGGGCCCCAGCTAGAAGAAAAAGGGGGGGGGCAGCAGGGAGGGAAGGGGAGACCCAGAAAGGAGGGGGCAACAATGAGTAAGGTGGGCCGGGGAGGAGGCTAGGCACTCACATGTCAGTGAGCCACGTCATCTGAGCCACCACGCCCAGGCCTGCACTCAGACTGTTGTTGGAAACGTCCCTGTCATGCATGCACGCACGAGGGATGCATGCACGTGGGATGCAGGCACGTGGGATGCAGGCGAGGGGGAAAGGTAAGGCTAGGCAAGAACATTCACTGGCAAAGGGAGAGCAATGATCAATCAGATTTAAAGCCCATGAAGTGAGGCGTACAGCACATTCATGGCGGTGAGGCGTACAGCACATTCATGGCGGTGAGGCGTACAGCACATTCATGGCGGTGAGGCGGGTGAAGGTGGTGGGAATGCCACCCGCTCATTGCTGGCCAGCTGCCTGCAGGCACGGGTGGGCCGCGCAGCAGGGCATGGGGAGAGAGTCGGGGCAAGGAAACGCAAGGGTACAGGTGTGTACGATGAAGCCAGGCAGAGAGATGAGGGCAGAGAGAAAGAGGCCAACTTTATGGGATGCTGGTAATGAGTGCAAGGAAGCACAGCAGGTAGGGGCTGGGCTTACAGGAAAGAAAGTTGCGGCAGTGCAAGGTGAGGCGGAATGGGGCCACTAAAGGCGTTGTAGCCAAGTGATCTGGATGGGAAGGGAAGGAGACCCCTCCAAATGATCAATATGGTGTTTCAAGGCCCGGGAGCTGGAGACTGGCTCCTTGCAATACCGTTCAGCCATGACCTGTGCTTCACCTCTGGGCAGCGACCACTTCCCTGGCCTTCCGGAAGGGACTCCCTTTCAACCTCCCATCGTCTTCTACGCTGCATGGACGGAGCAGACAGGACCACCAAGCACAACAACCTCGTCAATATGCTGCCCCATATTTCCTGAAAGCAGGGTCTGTTGTTCAAATACAGCCACCCACGACAACTCACCTGCGAGACCAAACAAAGGAGCCCCCTTGCTGCTATTTTCAAATCAGGCCTTCGGCGCGGGTCCCTTACTGAGCGCGCAGTAGGTACACCAGTGAGTTCCACCAGGGCCCTTGCTATTTGACGATATCCAACCTTGCGTCGCCGCGGCCGCAGCAGCTCACCATGATGCCGTCCTACTGGCCTACGCGGATGACATCACCCTTCTTGGAATGGGCCTGCGTGCACTGCGGCGTTCACACACCTCACCACGGCTTTTACTCAGCTGGGCTGAGCCTCCAACACGACCCAGGAAAATGTGCAGCATGGTCAGCCTCTTCCATCAACCCCAGCACACTCCCAGAATGCATCATGGCAAACCCAGCGGCCATACGCATGCTGGGAAGCCCCCAAGACTTGCCAACAGGCCGCACAACGATGGCAAGGGCACGACTCGCCAACGCAGCGGAACCACAACCACTCCTGGCCCACATGGACCCCCAACTCTGCCTCCTCCTCCTCTTCAACCGATGCGTCAGTCGGCGAGCTTCATTCCTCGCCCGACCAGCCCCCTGGAGGTACCACCAATGGAGGAGTGGTCCGCTTGGGGAGGAGGCCTTCTCTGCACGTTCCTGGACTCTTGGGGTACTGGGCCTTACTGCCTACCTTAATTCCATAATTTCCACCGCGTACCTGCTGCAGTCCCTGGACCACACCCTCAATTGATCAGTTACGCAGCTGCTCTGCCTTACGGACTCAGACTCTACCTCCAGCACGGCTCTCCCTTCGTGCCTAGCGGGTGCGACGCTACCTCCAGCGGAGGCACCAGCCCTAAAACCAAAACACCAGGAACCCAACGGCTTAGAGCTGCAACAGGCACTCTCACTGGTGGTTCAATCGGCCTGCTACATCCGACAGCTGAATGACACGTGCGGCATGCTGCGCTGTGCAACCCCCTGCTTGAGTACACCCAGAACTTGCGGTTGCTGCTCGGGGCCGGGGCTGGGGATTGGCGGGTGGCAGTACACGACTAGCACTAGCACGACTGGCTTAGAGAGCGCAAGAATGACTGGCAAAGAATGAGCAACTCAACCCTGCGTGAATCGCCTACTGAGCGCAAGAGCTCTCTCTAGGATGAGGGTTTACAGAGGAAGAAGAGGATACAGGGAATTGTGGGGTGGGAGGTGGAGCTTGAGTTGAGGAAAGGAATGTGAGACGTACATGCTTTGGATGTTGGTGGTGAAGGCACGGGGGATGGAACCAGACAGGTAATTCCATGAGAGGTCTCTGCAACGGGAGGGGGGAAGAAAGAGTAGCGCTGGAGTCCATGACCAAGGGGGAGGGACAGAGTGAGCAACGAAATGGTGAGAGAGCAAGGGTTGGGAGGGGCAAGCGGCGTGGATGCTGGGAACTTACATTGCAGTGAGGGCTGTTAGGGCAGAGAGGGTGGCGGGGATGGTGCCTTGAAGATGGTTGTAACCCAAAGCCCTGAAACAAGATGAAGGCGGAGCTGTAAGTTGCATGTGCAGGTAAGTACTGCGGTTGACAAGATATGCATTCACTGGGTTTCAGCTTAACGGATTGGAAACAGCACCTAAGAAGGATGACAGAATGGGATGGGGACATGGCAGCATGACAGTATGTGAACATGGCAGCATGCCAGCATGGAATCATGGCAGGATGAACACGGGGAGTCATGGCAGTGGCTCACAGGTATTGCAGGTTCAGGATAGATGAGAAGCTCTTAGGCACGTATCCCTCCAGGTTGTTTCCAAAGAGAGATCTGCAGTGCGTGCCACCAGGCACGAGACGCACGGCACGAGGATTACACAAGGAGGGACTTGTGCAGGATCACAGCACACCCACCCTCCTGCCTGCCTGGTGGCCTCTCCTACTGCAGCTGCTGCAGCAGCTGCGGCAATGAGCCTAGCCATTCCCACACTCGTACAACGAAATGCTTGGGCCTCTGCGTCATGTCTGGTGATGTGACTGAAGGTTGCGAATTTTGCACGCTGCACTCACAGGCTGGTGAGTGCGGTGAGGTGCGAGATGTCATCAGACAACAGCCCCTGCCGCCGCGGCTCATCCCCGTTCACGTTGCTGCATGGGCAGGGGGACAAGGGCAGGGGGACAATGGCAAGGGGACAATAGAACAGGAACAGCGGCAGTCGGGGGGACAAGGGCAATGAGTCTAGGGATTTGGGACAAGGGTATGCTTGCGAAACTTCTCACACTTGAACAAGGAGAGACCACGCCCATGGCATGAATGGTTCCAGCCGGTGCGTCGTGTGTGCAGCAGCAGGGGCGGTAGGTGTGTGGCAATGGCAATGGCTCACAGATACTGAAGGTTGTAGAGGTGAGTCACCCAGGCAGGGAATTCCAAGGCACGTAGGAACGACAAATCACTGCAGGGGAGAATGCAGTGGGATGGCAAGGGGATGGCACAGGGATGATAGAGGGCTGGGCTCCTGCCAAATGGGCCATCAGTGAAAACCTGCTCGTGCACGTGAACAAGCATGCTTTATTTGAACTACTCTTGGACCCGTATGCTGCTGACTCACAGTGTAGTGAGGGCTGTGAGGTATCGGATCTCCCTGGGTATCTCCCCCGTGGCATTGGTGAGCGAACTGAGTGTCCTGCACACATGCACATGCACACACATGGAGAAGAGTCGACACTACCAAGGCACAATAAGAGTCAACACTACCAAGGCACAATGAGAGCCAACACTACCAAGGCACAATGAGAGTCAACACTACCAAGGCACAATGAGAGTCAACACTACCAAGGCACAATGAGAGTCAACACTACCAAGGCACAATGAGAGCCAACACTACCAAAGCACAATGAGAGTCAACACTACCATAGCACAATGAGAGTCAACACTGCTACCAAGGCTATAAGAGGCGACCAGGAAGTCAGTTCACACACTGACTGATTTGAACTACACGAGTTGACGCATCAAGGCAGCACCGGCTCCCAGTGCACCGGAATCGAGCTTACAGGCTTTGAAGATTCTCCAGATGAGAGAGAACGTGCAGAGCGGACAAGCTCCCTGTGAATTCCACCAAGCCAAGTATATGCCTGGTGGGTGGTGGTGGAGGGGTTGTGGGACGTACGAGAAGCTTTGGGGCGGGTGGACGGTGGGGCACACGACATGGGGCTTGTACACAAGATGCTGGAGAAATGTGCGTGGCGTGCAGCAATGAGGGCAGCATGGCATATGTGCGAAATGGGAGTGCCAACTGCATGCTGAGTGGCACAGTTATCGGGGCGTGTGAACTGAGAGGAGGGCGTGGCGGTGTGCAGAGCATACAGCGATTGCAGGTTGGAGAGGGAGGAGAGCCACGCCAGTCCCTCGTAGGTGCCAGTCAGCTGGCTGCCGTCTGCTCCCATGGCTCTGAGGACATGCCACACATGCAGTCAGCCATGCCGCACATGCAGTCAGCCGTTCCACACAAGCAATCACCCATGCCATACATGCAATCAGAAATGCCAAACATGCAGGTCAGTGGTATAACGAACATTAACTGTGAGAAAGGAGCAAGAATTGGCGAAAACTTTTTTTTGCCTGTATTGGAGAGAAGGAGCGCAGTGCATTGTATTGCCAGCGGCGGAGGCGGGGCACGTACAGGAGAGTGAGCCTGGAGAGACTTGCGAGAGATGGGACGTGGCCCATCAGCTTGTCGTTTGTGAGATCTCTATGGACGTGGGGAGGCACGAAGCAAGAGCGAAGGAAGGAGAGAGGCGGAATGAGGCATGCAGTGCGATTTCTTGGTACAGATTTCATCCAAGCTGCTGCACCAACCGCTGCAGAGCATGCAAAGGTAGCGAGCAGGGGGGGTTGGTTGTGGCTTATCAAACAAGTGGGCTGCGAGATGGGGGGATTATGGACGATTAAGCACAGCTGCCATTGCCAAGAACAGGAGGGACTGTGATGGGTCGCAAAAGAGTAATGGCTAAGTGCATGCAATGCAGAGTGGATGGAGTGGCGTGGAGGGTGGGTGGGGACGGACAGGTACTGCAGAGCAGCGAGGTTGGTGATGGAGGCAGGTATGGCGGCGCTGCCATCCACCACCACGGCCTTTGAATCCCTGCCACCCACCACACGCACACAACCACACCATGCTCCCATCCCTCCCCACCCCTTCAAACCACCCCTTTACACATCCCCTCCCACCACCCCGCCTCCACCACTTTTCCCAACGCCCCCTCTTCCATGCCCCTACCCCATCCCACTCAATCGCATCCTCCCAATTCTTGCCCCCATTTCTCAACACCGCTCACAGTCCAGCCCATTCAGAACAGAAACAGGTGATGCACAGGAATGAATGCATGTATTGCGGAGGAATGAATGCATGTATTGCGGAGGAATGAATGCATGTATTGCGGAGGAATGAATGCATGTATTGCGGAGGAATGAATGCATGTATTGCGGAGGAATGAATGCATGTATTGCGGAGGAATGAATGCATGTATTGCGGAGGAATGAATGCATGTATTGCGGAGGAATGAATGCATGTATTGCGGAGGAATGAATGCATGTATTGCGGAGGAATGAATGCATGTATTGCGGAGGAATGAATGCATGTATTGCGGAGGAATGAATGCATGTATTGCGGAGGAATGAATGCATGTATTGCGGAGGAATGAATGCATGTATTGCGGAGGAATGAATGCATGTATTGCGGAGGAATGAATGCATGTATTGCGGAGGAATGAATGCATGTATTGCGGAGGATTCTAGACTCCAGGAGAGCCGAGGCGCGTGAATCACGCGATTGGAGTGAAGCGCACGTGTTAGAGAAATGCAACCCAAGTGGGTGTGTTTGTGGTGTCACGCCAGGGTGCACATGTCGAAATCTCCCCTATGAAAATCTCCGCACTCCTCGACAGGGGCGGTTCCTTGGCATACGATACCATGTGCCACCAATGCACACTTCCGAGCCTCCTGTGCGAACATCCCTGCCACTGCGCAAAACATTTTCTGGCACATTCATGGCTGCGGGGGAACATTTTCTCCATGTGCACGCGAACGCTCTCTCACTATTATTTGAGGGCAACTCATCCTCTGCGCGCCTCAAATATAACCTTTGACTCAGTGGGTAGCGAAGCATTAGAATGAGGGTGGTCACGTGGGGCAATGGTGGGAGCAATGGGGACAATGGAGGCAATGGCACTCACAATGAGATGACCAGTCTGTTAGGGCTGCATGTCACGCCCGGCCACGCAGAGCAAGAAGTGGTGCCGTTGCTGTTGCCCGCCCACGCGCCCCACGCCGCCTGCACCTTCACAATCTTGCTCACTACGCATGTGCAATGAGCGCCCGACAGAATGAGGGGAGGGTTGATGAACGTCGTAACCCTATACGGTATATTGTTACATTCAATCTACTCTATAGCTCTGTAGCTACAATGGCAAGACCTATATGTACATAGTATGAGGGCCAACAGTTTTGGGACGCACAGGCACAGGCGGCTCAGGCACCAATCGCAGGCTCAGGCACAGCGCTCATGCACAGTCTGCAGCTCAGGGAATGTTATCTGCGCGCGTTACAACAGTCCAATTCAGCGAGCTGGCGTTGCGACGCCTCCAAAGCCACGGGCCTTGCGGACGCGGACGCGGCCTCGGTGGCGGCGGCATCAAGCTTGAGGAGTTGCGAGCGCTGGGCGCGGATGGCCGAGCAAAGGCAGGAGATAGCACGCGCTGGTTAGGCCGATGGGGGGCTTCTCGCCGCGGCAGTGGGTGATTGGCGGAAGAGAAGGAGCAATCTGCGGCGGTGGAAAGCGCAAGGGCCGCGCAAATAAGAAGCTGCGCTGCTGTATCGATACGCATTGACCACTAAGGCGCAACGCAGCTGCGCGTGGGAGAGGAACAAGTTTTATGTATGGCAGACATTGGAACTCGTTTAATGTACGGTGGACTAGTAGTACGTTCCTCCTCCTAGACATCTGCTAACTGCGTCGGTGTGGCAAGAATTTATGGTGTACCTACTTCACCCAAAATTGCAGGTCAAAAAAGTAACTTCAATGTTTTGTGGAGTTACTTTCCCCAGGCAATTGGCTCACGCCCAGATTCGACAGGTGTCAGCTGTGAAGTTCGGGTCAGCTTCGCGACAGGTCTGTGTCCTGGTTTTCAGGTTTGGCGCCGGCCAGAGTGAGCGCGTTTCATCGCGCGCCTCGGCTATCCTGACATGACGGTCCGCGGTGTCAATGGCGACGTTACAAGACTGAGAACTCTCGCAAACTTCGCCGGCGGCAAAAACAAAAGCAGAGGGATTTGAATACTCGATTGAAGATAGGGTTCTGTCAGCTGACTGTAACACACAACATGTTTTCAAGAAGCAACTGAGAATATGGAGAAAATCCATCAAATGGTTTTTTAAGAAACATGTGTTGCTAAACATTGGAGCAAAGCCAACACAAACAACCTTCTTCACCGACTTCGACGTCTGCCGCTCCACCTCCTTCAGCCATTTTTCGAAGACGACCAGCACGTCGCTTTTCTTCGTGATCGGCCTCACCCACACATAGCGAGTCTTCCTATCCTTCAGCAGAAGAAAGTAGAGGCTACCGTCGTTGGCGGCCACCCGAAATGGCCCGCAGAGGTCGATGTGCACCACATCGAGCGCATTTTCGGCCTCCGATCCTTGGTCGGGGAAGGTGTGCCGTAAGTTTGCCGCCGACGCAGGAGGCACATGGCAGATCAGCTGCGGTTGACTTCTTGATGTCCAGACCAGCGGCGACCTCGTCTTTCGCCGAGCTCTTGATCGTGTCGACGCCGACGTGCGCAAGCCGTGCGTGCATCATGTCCGGGGTCAACTTCGTCACCGACGCGATAGTCCGCAGAGCTACTACCTTCGTCGAAGTCATCGTCGACTTTGTCGAGCAGGGGCGCAGGTCGGTGCAAAGAATTTTGCCGGGGTAGCATGCTCGACCAAGGACATCGCCGGCAGAAGACACCAGCAGCATCTCTCCGCCGTCGTCCTGCAGCTTCACGCCGTTCTCCTTGAGTTGGCTTTCAGACAGCAGGTTCGCGTGCACACCCGGAACATAGAGTACGTCGGGGACGAGGACCTGCTTCCCGGCCTCCCCTTGCAAAGCAACGGTGCCTCTGCCTTCGACGCTCTGAAGTGCCCCGTTGAAGCCGCGGACGTGGCGAACGTCGCCGCTCGGCTGCATGTCAACAAAGGCCTCCTTCGTCCCCATCAGATGGTGGGAGCAGCCGCTGTCGAGCAGCACAACAGTCGGATTGGCCTGCACAGCAGCAGCGACCGCCTTGAAGTCTTCGCCAGCCTCCAGCGCTAGTGAGATCGTCGGCACCACCACGCTGACCATCGAGCACGAAGCCTCCTCGCCACGAGCATTGCCGCCAGAGGAGTCAGCATCCTTCGGCGAAGTCGTCTTCGACGGCTGCTTCTCCTTGCGTGGTCGGTTGCCCCGATGACGACGGCCACCTTCTCCCTTTCTGCGGTTGGCGTCCCGGTCGTCGTCAGACTCGTCTCGGACCCATGTCATCAGCAGTCTCCCCTCAGGCTACAATCTGATGCGCCGGATGCTGACAATTCCCGGCACGCGCGAGACTCTGATCGAGGACTCGCTTTCGAGCCATATCATCCAGGACGAGTTCCTGCAGGAGTCTGAGCGACCTGCGGAATTGCTTCCGCATGCCAACTATGTTGCCCCGGCGAAGCAGGGACGCCAACAGGGGCAACGTGGGAAGTCTGCTGGAGGCGGTGGTGGGAAGTCGTCGAACGCAAAATTGACGGAGGGCGCCGACCGCGGGAAGTCGGCGAAAGGTGGAGATCGCGGCAGCCGTGGCTCGCGTCGAGAAGGCCGCCGTTGCTACATCTGCGATGCTATGTAGAGGTCGTCGGTCGCTTTGTAGGTGCGCATGATGTACTGCCACGCTTGGTAGCCAGCATCCACCCGTTGTCTGCACGACTTCAATGCGACCTGCACCAGAGGTGAGCAACACCTCGAAATAACCATGAAGGTCAGTAGATGAGCAGCGCGGAATTCCGTCCAGAGTTCAGAGTCGTCTGCGTCCGGCGTCGCAACATTTCCGTCGACGAACTTCTTTAATCCGGCGATCTCCAGCTGTGGCTCAATGGATTCAATCCACGTGATCAAGTCGTGTCGACCTTCGAGCGGCTTCGGCACAGCGATCTTGTCCAGCGAGAATTTAAAATATCTGCCGGCGCGATGCCTCCGTCTCGACCACCCGACGCATGAGTCGCCGAAGTCGGCCTGACTCCACTCCGCAGATGAGATAAACGTCGACCATCGATGTTGCCATTTGAGCTGCCTCCAGTCGCAACACTTGCGCCTGCATTCCGCCAACGCTGCCGTCGGCGGGCAAAATCACTCCGCGAACCCTCGTGCTTCCACCGCCGACAACATTTCCGTCATCGCCTTCGTTGTGCACGGGTCGGGGAGAGGCGGACGCGTCATCCGCTTCTGCACGGGGAGGGGGGTGCTCACGCGCCCACTGCGCACGAGTTCCAAGGAGCAGAATCTCCAAGTCCGCCTTGCCGTACCCGCCAGCCTCGTGGCGTGCTCGAACACCAGCCTCTCTCACCTGCAGGGTATCTTCTACGCCTGCTTCTGTCAGAATCACTAGGAGTAGGGCCTAGGCTTATTAGCCGAGGCCACAGTGAGACTAGAAGGTTGTGCCAAGCAGGAGAGAGAATGAGATGGATTGACTATGGAAGAGAAGGTACAAGTAGAAGAGAACCAGAAAAGAATGGTGCACCACCACACAGAACACTAGGTAACTACTCTACAGCTAGAACTACATGCACTTATACAGACATATATATAAGATATATTCTGACACACCCCCTAAGTGCATGCAGGAATAGCCGATGAGAAGAACACCCCTGTAGTGGTACACCCTGTAGGGCGCAGCAAAAGTAGAGGCGAAGTGAGGAGGAGGAGAAGGAACAGTGAGAAGAGTGGAGATAGAAGGCGACGGGTGAAGCCGCAGTCGCACGGGCAACAGGAGCGGCGCGCACAGTGGCTACCGAGCGCACGAGGGCACCGGACTACGGGAGTATCTGACTCCGCGGCTACGACGAGCGGCAGGAGCAACGGACCCACAGGCGACTGGCGAAGCAGGCTCGATGGGCTACCGAGAGCACGAGGGCTCCGGACTACTGGTGCTGCTGACAACACGACGCCGACCTCCACTCAACCTCCCCTAACTGTCCCACACCCCCTTTTCACACACCCACTGCTGCACCCCTAGCTCCACTACCACGGCACCTCC